CAAATCCGCCCCCCCCCCCCCGTTGTTTAGAAGAGCCGTGAAGACCTGGCTCTTCACCCAGGCTTTTGGCGAGGGAGAGGGAAACCCATCATGCCATCTTTTACTTTTATTTTACACTTGCCATCTTTTATTTTTATTTTTTATTGATTTTATTGTAATTTCTTTAATTGTTGTTAGCCGCCCAGAGTCGTTGATAATCAGGCGGCATACAAGTTTAACATATTGTTATTACTATTTGTAAAATGTGTGAAATATTTGCAAAATGTAAATATTTTATCAAAGTACTTTATTTTGGTAATTGACTAGAGTAATATAGCAGAATAAAATTAATAAAATAAGATTAAGGAGATAAAATATGGTTAAAAGTAGAATCAAGCAAATAAAGGTGAATTAAAAATATATTCAAATTTAACTGTTCCTAGCAAGGTCCTGCTGGATCTTGCCAGCTATTAAACAGAAATTGGCAACATTATAAGAGAGTATTTTTCAGCTTTTTGGCTAAGATCAAATGTAGCATTTGCAAAAAGGTGGCAAAGTTCAAATGGATAAATTTGAAAGCAACAACTTATGGCAGACAAAGGCCAAGCCCTTCACTCCCTTGCCCTTTAGAAGGACGCCTTTCCACAAAGCTGGCCCAGGCAATGAACTGGAGGACACTCAGCCATAGAAGTCCCAGTAGAATTCTTGGCCATCAGAAATTACCAAAGGGGATTGCCAGCTGTCATTGGTCTATCTTGTAGCAAGGTGAGGAAGTAGGCATCAAGTTGGTGTCATTTGACAGCTGATAGTACTAACACTTGCTTATCATCCTGCCTGTCAACAGCAGAGATCTCTTGTTGGTGGCTGGCTGTGTCAGCTGGGTTCTCACATCAGGTGGGTTGTATGGTGTTGCATGAACATAGCCATGGTGTTTGGTAAACCATGACAGTCAATTGTGGCTTGTTCTACAAAGCTTAATAAGGCAAGCCTTAGTTCAGTGTTATGAGTGAACCAGGTCACAGAAAGATGAACTAAGACAGAAGCCTGATTCATTCTGCAGAGGCAGTAGTTTTATTTGGGTTTCCCCAATTAGAGCTTTCCCTACTTTATGCTGGGTTTATGTTGAGCTATAACCAATTGTAGCTTCTGTTTGCAAATGCAAGCTTATCTTCACTTTATCTTTTCAAGTAAAATGTTTTATCTTCACAAAACCTGGAGAAAAAAAACCTTTTTACTTCTTTCAACAGGGCTTACCTGGACCTCCAGGTGAAAAGGGGGAAACTGGAGATGTTGGTCAAATGGTAATAAAGCGTATTATTTTCCCTCAAATGTTAATGTTACTGTGTATGTTTTGGTCAAAAACTTTATCTTTCCATCAATTGAAAGGATATTTTCTCTTCCTTCCCCAGGGCCCTCCAGGTCCTCCTGGACCCAGAGGCCCAGGAGGACCCCCTGGAGCTGATGGGCCACAAGGTCCATCAGGTGGGATTGGAAATCCTGGAGCCGTTGGTGAAAAGGTAATACCATTTTGCTGGGGGGATATTGGAAAGGGAAGACAGCATTAAAATGCTGCAGTTAAGAAAGGGTGCCAGCAAGGTCCAGTTGTAGGAGAGGCCTCTGGCTGAAAGGCTCAACTGGGCTTTAAGAAGATCTAATCAGGGGGTTATTTGCCAAATTATTTTGCAAAGCTCTCCTCCCAGGGTTGCAAATGAAGAACAGCTTGACCAACTTCCAGATTGGTGGTTGGAGAAGTTGTAGGACCACCTGGAGAAAGGTCTGGGCTCCATCCCACCACTCTGAGCTTCTTCAGCTATCAGACCAAAGAACCCATACAGCTGAGAGAAAAGGAGCTTGCCCATGCCCTCCGCATAGCACATGATTTGTCTTGCCTTTTGCAGGGAGAACCTGGAGAAGCAGGAGAGCCTGGCCTGCCTGGAGACTCTGGACCACTAGTAAGATTTGAAACCTTTTAAGAAGTGTCTCTGCAATTGAGATGAATTGGAATGAGATTAGTGCAACAAATGGTTGCAAAGCCTCAGGCAGATGTTTTCAATATGGGGTTCATAACACCATTTCCAGTTCTGCCCCTTTTCTGACAGACCCACAAATAATGTCTTCTATAGCAGTATTCCACTAGATGGATTGACAAGATGATTCTCAGCCAATGCTGTGCTTGTTCCCACCTCAGCCATCTTTCAGACCCTTGATTCTTCTGAGTATAGAACAATTCACCCATCAACTTATCTCTTGGGAAGTCCAATCTATTGGACCAGTTTCCTACTGCCTATCCCTTGAAATCCAGTCCAACAGAAATTAGCTGCTTAATCAAGGCGGGAGAATTCAGAAGAAACAACCCATGGCATTCCAGTGCAGGAAATGGGCTCTCTTTATCATGGAGAGACAGCAGTGAAAGAGACATCTGTGCTTCGGTGTGAAATTGATTATCAGAAAATATTCAGCAACACTACTCCTCTTTTGATTTCCTCTATGGGCTGACTGGAGCATGATCAGCTTTGGTCCCCACTACCTAATCTGTTGCTGAGGCAAATCAAACCTGCTAATAAGGGTTCTCATCTTCCTTTGACAGGGTCCTAAAGGAGAGAGAGGGGAAAAAGGTGAAGCAGGCCCTTCTGGGGCTGCTGGCCCCCCAGGCCCAAAAGGTCCCCCAGGAGATGATGGTCCCAAAGGGAGCCCGGTAAGTACTTCCCACCTCTATTTCCAAGGCTTTTCCCCATTCCTGGAAAGGAGAATGGCCCCTTATAAGGGACTCTTTCCTTATTGTTCTCTATCCTGGGCTGCTGGTTTCTTCCAGAGAGTTGATGGCCTTCATTCTTGGCTTTTCGCCTATTACGTGAGAATCCCAAGTGCAAGTGCTTGGTTCTTATATGCACTTTTAAAAAGACCTTTGGGCAGGCTGTAGGGCTTCCCCCGTACAAAGGCGGCCCAGCTTGCTTTGCTTCCTTGCGGTGATACCCTTTTCACAAGCCTCTTCAGAAAGAAGTCCAGTGGTGGTTGTGGGGAGGGGGGATGATCTGGAACTTGCTTCCTTGGGCCTTTTCAAATAAACAACAGGTTTGTTTGTATGTTTGTTTATTATAAGCTGCCCGACTCATAAACAACTCTGAGCAGCTTACAACTAAAAACTAACCCATTAAAAGGAAAATCCAACAGACCAAAAGAGCAAAAGACAAAGACAAAGCAAAACCAAACCATACCAAACCAAATGAAAAAGAGGACTCCACAGTCACCCAATCCCCAAAGCCTGAGTGAACAACCAAGTCTTCAACAATTTCCTGACTGACATAAGGTTGGGAGCCACATAAAACTGTGGGGAAAGATTAGAGACTGGATGATAATTGGCCAGGATCATGGGGTCCAGTCATGTCTTCTTGAAAAGAGGGTGCACTACATGTAGCTCCTTCAAGGTTGGGGGGACCATTTCCTCCCTCAAGGAAGCTACGCCACCACCTGGACCCAACCACACAGCACCTCCTGGGCGGCTTTAACTATCCAGGAGGGACCTGGATCTAGCAAGCAGTTGACCGAGCTAATAGGTTAGAGGACTCTGTCCACTTCCCTAAGAGTCTTCCCAAACTCTCTCCAGATATACAGGGCTTTGCCCCAGGGATCTCAACTTGGCCCATCCAGTCTGAGCAAATCTGAGGGACTATCAGACAGATACAAGGATATTCCTCATAGTGGCCCTGCAGATGGTCCTGAGGCTCGTTCCTCCCCAGCAAGGACCAGGTCACCTTGAATGGGGCCATCGAGCAGCTACTGGCAGATGCAAAAAGTGTGGGGAAATAACATTTTGTTGCCCTGATGTAATCCCTAATAAGGGTTCTTTCTTGTGCTTGACTGGATTCATCTTCCTCCAGTGAGGCTCCAGGAGTCTCTTCTTGCGCTTCATTTCCTAGAGCTCCTCAAAAAACAGAGGCACATTTTGTTCCTCTCTTTTTCTTGAATAAATTCCTGAGTGGACTTGGCTTGCAAACTCCCCTCTCAATAATCTGGTTGAGATCATGGAGTTGCTCCATTTCATGGAGATGGATTTTCTACTGTCCCCTTGATTTGACTATCATGGTCAGTGTGTTGCCAAAATTGTTGCTCATTTCTTTATTCTTTATTCTATTATTAAGATTCCATAGGAATAAAATCATGCTCTTCCTTTCCACATATTTTCAGGGTCCAGTTGGCTTTCCAGGCGATCCAGGCCCTCCAGGTGAACCTGGTCCAGCTGTAAGTACCAAGATGGGAAACAGTGAGACTGATTTTTCCTCAAATATGTCTAAGGATTTTCACTAGAAGAAAATCCCAGGGAGCTGCTCTCCAGATCTTTTGGAAACATTTCAGTTTGGATTGAAATAGGGAATTTGGACATTTAAAATGTTGTATCTCCCCTTGAGATTTCAAATGTATTTATATATACTTCTAAGGGACACAGGTATGTTTTTCACTTTTGTGTCATTTCCAATTGTGGCCTATTTGTTAATTTTCTTATAAGCAAATAGTTTATTCATCATCCTCATCCTCATCATCTAGCATGTCTATACTTCTCTTTATGATGGTCCTTTTTCTTTGAGATTATTGAATGTTAGAAACTTTTAATAAAGGGAGAAAACCTTTTGAAATCTTGAACTTACATTGAACTCATGTTAGAGATAATACCCATGTGTTCCACATTTTGCTGAGAATATTAATATATTCATTATTTATTGTTTAATTATGAGAGCCAGTTTGGTGTAGTGCGTAAGGCTCCAGGCTAGAAACTGGGAGACCGTGAGCTCCAGTCCTGCCTTAGGCACAAAGCCAGCTGGGTGACTTTGGGCCAGTCCCTCTTTCTCAGCCCTAGGAAGGAGGAGGAAAGGGTAACTCACTTCTGAAAAACCTTGCCAAGAAAATTGCAGGGCCTAGTCCAGGCAGTCACCAGACTCAAAGCCACAAAAAAATATTATGTAATAAATTATATATAAGATGGCTTCAGTTTCTCTATCACTTCTTGCATTTAGCCATTAATAACTTCCATTTTATTAGGAAATACTTCAGGAATGTGGTCTTCAAAAGGCATGAAATAGTAGGGGGAAGGTAAAAAATTCCTTTTCTATTTTCTTCTAGGGTCAGGATGGTCCAGCAGGTGATAAAGGAGATGATGGTGAACCTGGCCAAACTGTGAGTACCCTAACTAGAGACCAATTGCATTTATTTATTGGGAACAAAAGATGCATCTCTTTGCTTAGTACCAGAAATATGATACGGATGAGTTAGTGGCTGAATATAGGTGGTTATCAAAAGGAAGCTAAGGACTAGTGGAGAGAAGAGGTGTTGAGCCATTAGTCAGAACCAGGAGTCAAGAAGGAGTGCTATTGTTTCCTGACTGTGTCAGCCTGGAAGCCTTCATTTTGAGGACAGTCTATCCCAATACCAAGCACCCTTTTCTTCTTTTAAAGATAATGCCCTAGCTGGTGCTCCTCTGCAGAAGACAGTTTGGCACAGCTGTTTGTTTCCACAAGCCTGGAAACAGTAAATTTCTGGTGCAGCTCATCCCTAGACAACCAGCTAGAGACATACACCGAGATGAGTTCAATGGGCAAGATGATATGGAGAGTATGAGGCCGGAAGATATTTAAGGATACTCTTTTGAGCTTGTGATGACCCCAAAACCTTCAGAACCTGAGCTTCCTGTTTTAGGTTAATCAGGCTGGGAAAAACTGCTTAGGAATGGATTGGGTTAGGGTTAAGATCAAGTTTAGGGTTTGACATTTCATAGAGAGACCAAATCCAGATAAGGTCCTCATAGGTGAGTTAAGAGTGAAAGATCATCTTGACTTTCCAAACTTAGTGGCAGGACCCTTCCTTTGTGTAAATCAAATCAGGGTTTAGTCTATCCTGCCTGTTGTTGCATTAGAGCTGTAAGAATAAGCATGATTCTTTTCCCCCTTTCTTTTCAGGGCTCCCCTGGTCCAACTGGAGAGCCAGGCCCTTCAGGCCCACCAGGGAAGAGGGTAAGTGGCCTTTTCCCTTGCACGCCATAATTTCTAGCCAGACTTCTCAGAACATGTCATTGACCTCAGCAATAAGGAGGCTCTGTGGAGCTTGTTTTTTATTGGATGGACAGGCATCATGATGCAAACAGGGGTCATAGATGTCTCTGCCCATATAGGGTGGCTTGCTGTGTGATGCATGAACCTTTTAAACAGTCGCCAAGACCAGGTTCTGCAAATCCTCAAAGAAAACAGTAGCAGGGACATCAGAGATGCCAATTACTGAAAATATAACAGACAACCATAACAACAAATTTCTGACATACTTGGAAATCTTGATGTGAATTAAGGCAGGCTCCATGTTGCTGTTAGCTTAAAAAGGAGACAAATGATGATCTTTCTTGCCATAACAAGATAAAGCTTGTTAGTTTGCATCCTGTTTGAAAGACAGGAAAGCAAGGATAAGATCGTTTGTCAGATGCTTTGGAGAAGTCGCATCACCACTACGTAACCAGGCCCGGTCCTCCAGATTGTTCTACTTCTCCTCCAGCCAGATTCCATTTACCTTGTAGATACCATTTTAAGAATCAAGATTACAATTTGTTCTAATTTCTTTGACTAAAAATCATCTCTTGTTTGGTATGGAACTTATTTCCAAAGGAAATAAGAGGAAGGAGGACGCAAGCAAAACAGATAAAGAAGCAAAAGCATTTATGGGTTTGTTATCTGTCAAACATGTCATTTCAGCCAACCCCTGATATTTAATTAAAGGAAGGTATTGTTTTTAACAACAAAAATAATCATAAATGATAAAATGAGGGTTTAAAAAAAAAAAAAGACCAGATGTCTGAAGAGCCAAACTCTTGGGTGCTGGAGTTCAGTGCTGGGGCCGCAGAGTCCCCACCGGGGCTTCCTTTGGTTGAGCTGTTGTTAGATCCTGCAGGAGGCTCATAAGAGGGGAAACTGTTTGATCCACCTGGGTTCCATCTCACTGCATTGTGTCTCTCCCAACCTCTTTAGGGGCCGCCTGGACCAGCAGGACCTGAAGGCCGTCAAGGAGAGAAAGGTGCTAAGGTAAAACACAGAGCTGCTACTGGACAAAGCAGTATTTCAGGGTCAGGCTGCCTTCTCCCTGTAACGTCCCCATGCGCTTTGCTTCTTCTCTTCAGGGTGAATCAGGTTTGGAAGGACCTCCTGGGAAAACGGGTCCTGTTGGTCCTCAGGGACCTCCAGGAAAGCCAGGTCCAGATGGACTACGGGGAATACCTGGCCCAGTGGTGAGTATTGGGCAACCAAGGCCAACGTCGTTTCTAGGAGAGCATTGGCCCTATTAGATAGACCAGACTAAGAAACCAATGCCATGTAAGTTAGGGCTACTTTCATTGTAACAGCTAAAGTAACAGAACCTTGCAAGTCTGAATGTGCTTCCCCCTCCCTCACTTTATCTTTGTGTGAACTAGGGAGGGCCCTGAGAAGTTTACTCAAATTAGTTCCTTGGAATGGGCTCAAGACACGCTTGTCTGATTGTTGTCTTAGTAGTGACTCTTCCTCCTGTCCTTCAAGGCCTTTTCCTATTCCCTCTACAGAAGGACAGTAGTTAGATTGGTGATCCAGATTCTCTGCTGGAATTTCCTTGCCTCCATTTTTCAGTGACTACCCTGGAGCTTTGCATTTCCCCATATCTGCAGACTGGCTTGATATTTTAAGTTCATAGAAGCAATCTCCCTGGTGGAGAATTTTTTGCTGGAGAACTTTAACTTAGGACCACTCCTCACCCCTCAACATCTCCTGTTATCTTTATGGTTGTTTTTGATCCCCACCCTGAGATGTGGGAATAGAAAGAGAGAAAAACAAATTCCATACTCAAAACTTAACAGATTTCTTTCCCCTCCCCAACCCTCTTTGGTTTTTTGGGCCCACTGCTCACTGAGGTTGTCCTTCCAACTTTTTGCTCCAATTTAAATGTTCTAATCTGTCATGTCAGGAAAGAGAGGCCACTCCCATTGGTTCTGCTCCTCTTCTTACATCCCTTTCTCCCACTGGCCATATGTTACATCTAGAGAAGAGAGTTTGCTGCACATTGCAAAACTGATGAGATGCCAGAGTACTAGAGAAAAAAAAATGTAGGAAGGAAGAGGACCAGAAAACTACAGGCCGTTAGCTCAATGGAATGGAACTACTCAACCCGGTAGCTGGAAAGTATTTGGATATATTAAATAATGGAACAGTCTGCCTAGAAGAGGATAAATCCCCCCAGCTGAACTTTCCCAGTGGGGCTAGGTGATTTGTCAAGGTTGTTTGAATGGATTCCTGCCCTGAGCAGGTGTTGGAACTAGATAACTGCAGAAGTCCTTTGAACTCACGCCTTCGGTATGAGAAGGGTCCATCACAACATGCATAGATCTGCCTCAGGGAGTTGGGAACCAATGTTCATATATCCATATATATGGATGGAGGGCTCAAGGTATGCAACTCCCACTATTCACTCGTACAAATTGTAGCTATATAACTAAAACACCTGAATAGATTTTGAAGCACCCAAAGAGTGGATTAAAGGATAATCCAGCCATTCCATTCACTGATAGCACTGTTAATATTGAGTTTTCTGGTAAGGGAATTTAAACATGCCCCTTACTGAAACTCTTGTGGCCTGGCCAAATCAGTTGCTTCTACTGAATCCAGGTCAGTGTCCAGGAAAGTAGAAATACCTGGATGCAGATTTGGAATATTTATTCAGTGAGACCTACTAAATTGTTCTGTACAGTTGGATTCCAATAGACCAGGATTATCCCATGTCTGGAGGCAAACAAGGTTTTTTTTCAATACACCACAAGGAAATGTGAATCGCAGCCAATCCTAACCAACTAATTCAGTGAATCAACAGTGGTTTGCAAGCTTAAGTAGAGCTCAAGTAGAGTAGTGACAAACTAGCCATCTGCTCCAGCAGATCCAATTCTAGATGATGTACTTCATTTCCAACATTTTCAAGGGAAACAAAAAATCCAGTGCTACAAACATCCAGGCCAGCAAACATCCTTTCTTCAGTGGAACTTAGAATCATGTAACATCAGATGCAGAAGTATTAGAAATGGTATCCCTGAACTAGATTTGGTGCAAAAGACTTTGATATGACTATCTGAGGGACCTTGGACAAACATTCCTCTGTTCCTTCTAAGAATGGCACCAATTCTCACATATGTAAAGTTAGGGTTATGACATTAGGCTGTGTTACCTTCTGTCCTCTATCAGATAGCATGGAGCTGCTATCATGGTTTTTATAATGAAGGATACAGATATGACAACTGAAGACAACTATTCATGTAAGATTAATGAGAGTTTAGTCCATGGAAGCTTAGGCCAGCATGTATTTGTTGGCTTTAAAGGTGCCACAAGAGTATCTGTTGATTGTTATGATGGATGTTAATCTCATTAAGGTGGAGACACTGACTGAGAACAATCTCCCCTAGAGACTTGACTGAAGGCATCTGTCAAGACATCAGATAGCTGTGATTGAATAGATTTTGTTCCAAATCACTTAATAAACTAAAAATCAAGACACCATGTTTACTTGTATGGGTCAAAGCTGACCACCTAGTTGAAGTGAAGGGGAAAAAACTCCTCAGGAGTTTGCATAGAGAGCAGAAAGACAGTGTTGATAGAAAAGGAACCTGGATCTCTTTGAGAAGTAAATGCTTGCAGGAAGGTCAGATGTTACAACAAATTGGGGGGATAACAACTCTACCCAATCCTGGGGGTGGCTGGCACCTTGATGACGCTCCCTGAGTGATTGCCAATTATTTTAGATCTTTTTATTTTTTTATCTATTATTGTAATTTTGTAATTTAATTGATTTTAATTGTTTTGTGAACCGCCCAGGGTCATTTAATGAGATGGGCGGTGACAAGTTTGATAAATAAATAAATAAATGAATAAACAAATAGATAAATAAACAAATTAGCCAAGCCCAAAAACCGTAGATTAGAAGATATAAATCCCCTGATGTTCCAGTGAACCATAAGAAACTTCAGATGGGAATTTTTTTTAATTTTTTTTTTTTGCCTCTGATGTCAGGCATCAGTCAGAGAAACTGTGTGCCAGATGTTGGAAAGCCATGAGAGGAGATGTCTTGTTCTCTTCTTTTTGGATAAATATTGATGCCTTTCTTTCTTTCCCTCTGACCATACGCTCTTACACTGCAGAGTCCTTCAGTAGTACTTTTTATTTTGCTGGCCTCCAGAAAAACTCCAACTACTGTAACAGGGTCTGTGACTCCATCGGTAGAGTCTGCTATTGCAGCAAATTTTAGGAGATGGAATTTTTGAAGGCTGACTTCCAGAAAAGCTCCAAGTAATAGGGTCTGTGACACCATTTGCAGAGTCTGCTACTGCAGCAAATTCTAGGAGATGGATTTTTGAGGGCAAACCCCAATAAGCAGACTGCCCTCCAACTACCTGGGAGAGAAATCAGAATTTTGTCAGTCCTGTTGTACATTTCTCCGCCTAGTGGAGGTAAGGGCGGTCTGGCCTCCTACTCAGCACCTCCTACTCTTGATAGTCTGGACTAGGGGAATGCTAAAGCAGTGACCCCTGCAGGTATTTCCCCTTTCATATCAACCCAACTACTTTATCCTTAGTTACATGTCTAGATTTTACGTTGGTTAATAGCACTTTTAGGTAGAAGAGTACATAGTAGCATCCCACTACTGCTCTGGCAAGCTCGTGCCCTACCTGGAAGAGCCAACTTTCTCCCCAGTAAAGGAAAGTGCACAGATATTCTTTGTACTTGGTGGGAAATGGCATTGAGCTTAGGTGGGACAGTGTATAAAACTGTAATGAGAATTCCATCAATTCCAAGGAATGTTGGGGAATCTGCAGGTATAACAAACTGTTTCTTAATCACAATTATTATTATTACATACCTCTTTGAAACAAACATGCAGGATAGAAATGCAATGTAAAAATGTCACTGTCATAACCTTGGTTGATTCTTCTATAACGTGGGAGACACTAATGTATTAGTATCTCCCACATTAGTTGGTATTGTATTACTAACACAGAATATATCATAATAGCTACATTTATCCATTGTTTTATAGGGTGAGCAAGGACTTCCAGGTTCGCCAGGCCCAGATGGACCTCCTGGCCCGATGGTATGTCTAAAGTGTCAGGAATTGTGCTTTATCTGCACTAAGGCTGAAAGCAAAGGTCAGCCACATCCCGCCCCCCCACTCCCCTTCAGCTGTCCTGGTTCAAGCAAGAAGATCAGCCTCTCAATGGGGAACTGCAGCCCCGGATCCAGGGCAGTCTTTTTCATCCAAAGGGCATCTTGGCTGGCCATCCTCACCCTCACAAAAGACATGTATGTGTCCCCTGTAAATGTAGCTAGAGGATACTTTGAAAGTGACCAACCTTTAGGGCATGAAAAGCTAACATTCAAAAATTGGAAATGTGTTAACAATGGCATACCAGTCTAAATTCAAATTTCCTTTCCCAGATTAATCTGAGCTCCCATAAATCTAAAATTAAGTGGCTGAACAATGCTACTGATTTTTAGTATATACATTGTTCTTCTCTCCAAAGGGTCCACCTGGTTTACCTGGCCTGAAAGGCGATTCAGGTCCAAAGGGAGAAAAGGTGAGTTTTCAGTATTAAGGTATGTGTGTACTCCAGATCTAAGGCAAAAGTTGACCTCCAAGCAAGCATGTGAATTTGAACCATCTGCTTTAACTCTTGAGGTTAAACCAATTGAGATAGGTCCAGACCTGGAGAGAGACAACCTGGAGCCAGGCTGGAAATTGCAATTCTCAGTTACACCCTGAGAAACTATTAGGCTGTACGTTTTGCATCTGGCATGTAAGTTCAGCAACCATCTGAGTAATGGCTCATGCAGGCTCACTGTTTCACCTTCTGGACACAAGTTAAACTTCCCCTCGTCTCTTTAAAGCGGTACATGTAACTGTTTTCTTCTTGGCTTCTCTTATCTTGACACACGGAGCTTTTGCAATGCAGCCCTTGACTTTTCTAGGGTCATCCTGGACTGATTGGTCTAATTGGGCCTCCTGGTGAGCAAGGAGAAAAGGGAGATCGAGGACTGCCAGGACCTCAAGGAGGATCAGGGGCTAAAGGAGAACAGGTAGACATCTCTGCAAAATCCCTTGGCTATTCTTGACTGCTGAATCTTAAGATTTATTCCTACACCGGCTGGGGATGGGGCTTGAGCTTCCAAATTGGAAAGAACTCTGTTACTAAAGCTTGTGATTACAAACATTTTTCTTCTTCTTTGTGTCCTTCTCCAAGGGTATCACAGGTCCCTCTGGTGCACTTGGCCCTCCTGGTCCTCCAGGGCTGCCGGTAAGTAGCAAAGAGGCCAAGACTTGGGCCTACCAAATGTGTTTTTTCATATGTAACAGAACCTAATTTGGCATCTGAGTGATTTTAGAAAGATAAATATGCTTACTCTGAAATATAATAAGAATTCTGAGTGTACAAAATGTGACAGAGCTGCTCTTTCAGGTTCAGACTGAGACGCTGAACTTGTTCACTAGTGTAGAACTTGTGACAATTAATTCTGTGAATCAGCATTGACAGCAGGTATGTGTTATTTAATTATTTTTAATGGATGCTTTGCTAACTGTTGGACTGGTTCTTCTTTCTTTCAACTAGGGTCCCCCTGGTCCAAAAGGTGCTAAAGGATCTTCTGTGAGTACAAGTATCAAATCTACTAAAATGGGAAATTGTTTTATTAGTATTATTAATAATAATATTGCAGTCCACATGGTCTGGGGGTGGTGGGGAGAAGCTCTTAGTCCCTTTCCAGCTTCTCTCCATTTCATCTCTTTCTCCTTCCCATCAATCCACATCTCTCCCCTCAAGATGGTGCTCATTTTATTACTCTAAGATGACATGACTGTGGTCAAGGTATCATCCCCTAGAGGTACAGAAGAAGGCATTAATGTTTCTTGTTGCTATCCTGAATCTTCTTCATTCTCAGGGGAGAAAGAAAAAGTAGCACTAATATGGAAGGTGGTGGCAAACGAGAGGTGGTGCTTCACCAGAACGCCCCCCCCCCACCGGGGATGGTAAACTTGTAAAAGGGGGGGGGGGGGGGGG